TGGGAGCACAGAGGCAGGACACATATGCAAACACTCAGAGTCAGTCAGCTGCAGCCGTCCTCAACACATCACCAGGTTTCCTCCTCATCACTCACACATTATATTACATACACGTGTAAGGACCATGTATATCACGGCAGTCTCGAATTTCCATTAACTTCGAGAACTCTGAATTATCTGTAATGGAATCATTGAAACACACAAGTCTTTGTCACACACACACACACACAAAAAAAACGAATTTGCATTTTTTTTTCTTGTATAGATTTATTATATGTCGTCTGGTAATTTGACAGAATCTGCTGGGTCATAAATAAACATACAGTGATGCCAATATTTGTTAAAACATCACCTGGCTATTTTCACCTCAACTAGGTGCTTTTGGTTTCCGTCTACAAGCTTCTGGTCGTATCTTTGACGGTCCTCTTGACAGAATTGGTGCAGTTCAACTAAATTTGCTGACTTTCTGACACAGACTTGTTCCTTCATCACAGATCACAGGTTTTTGATGGTTTTAAGTCAGGACTTTGGGGAGACCAGTCTAAACTCTTAATTCTGGCCAAACTGATCCAGTTCTTTACCATTTTCAATACATTTGGGGTCATTGACTTGGAACACACAACTGCATCCAAGAACCAACCTTCTGAAGGTTTTATGTTCTTCTTTTCTGAAGAGTGTGGAGGTAATCCTCTTTCTTCATTATTCCATTTACTTTGTGTAAAGCACCAGTTCCACTGGCAGTGAACAGCCCCGGAGTACAATACTGCCACCACCGTGCTTGACAGTAGGTTTGGTGTTCTTGGGGCTAAAGGCATCACATTCTCTCCTCTAAACATGTTTCTGATCAGTGTGACCAAAAACCTCAATATCTGCTCCAACTTCTTCTCGAAGATCTTTTCCATGTCCAGGTGATCAGCAGTAGCTCAACACATCACCACTTTACCTCCTCACTGCTTACAGTGACTGAAATGATCCAGGAAATAACTGAGTCTAAGTTTGGGAAAGTAGCTACTGATCTGATTTAAATTCTTTTTTGCAGAAATCTGAGCTTAATTACATATAAAGATGTCTTTAGCATCCCAATATGTGTTACATGTTGTTTGTTCCACAGTACAAAATGTAAACTGAAGTGAAGTCAACTCCATTCCCTGCTCCACTTCCACTGAATCTGGAGGAGATTCCTGAAAGTCTGTCCGATGTTCTGTAGATCAGAGCTTTAGGAGCTTCTCCAGTTTTCTGATGGTACCAGGCCAAGAGGTGCCTTGTGGCCGAACAACATGTATCAGGTTCTCTGTTGAACTTACAGTCAATAGAGACAGTTTGACCGAGCTGCACTGATTTGGCTGCTGACTGAGTCACAACAACATTTTGTCCAACAGACTCTGAGGAGACAGAAGAAACACTGGACATGAGATGATGAACTGAAAGTCAGATACACTCCAAATGATTTTCACCTCTCACAGAAATGATTTTCTCACCCTGAGTGA